GGTTGTGAACCCGTTTGACTTAGTGTCAGGGACATGGAAACATAGAAACCAGGAGCAGGAATAGGCCATTTGACTCTTAGAACCTGCTCCACCATTCCATATGATCATTGCTGAACCTCTATCTTAATGCCATATTCCCATTTTATTCCCATACCCCTAGACGCCTTTAATATCTAAAAATGTTATTGACTCTTTCTTGAATATATCTTAGCTTTCGCACCTTTCTATGGTAGCGAATTCTAAGGTTCACTATCCTTGAGTGAAAAAATGTTTCCTCACCTGAGTCTTAAATGGCCTACCCTATATCCTCTGGTTCAAGACTTCTCCACCAGGGGAAATATCCTCCCTGCATGTACAGCCCTGTTAATTTTTTTTACATTTCAATCAGATTCCCACTCATCCTTCTACATGGATATAGGCCCAGTCGAACAAATGTCTCCTCATAAGACAGTCCTGTCATCCCCAGTCTCAAGATGGTGAACTTATGGTGAACTTGTGCTGCACTCACTTTGGTAAGTATATCCTTTCTTAGGTAGGGAGACCAAATTCCATGCAATACCCCAGGTGCAGTTTCAGCAAGGCCCTGTATAACTGCAGTAAGACATATTCTGAACTCAAATCCTCTTAGAATATACCATTTGCCTTCCTAATTGCTTACTGCACCCGCCTGTCTACTTTCATTAATTGGTGTATGAGGACACGCAGATCTCTTTATACATCCACATTTCCCAATATATCACCAATCAAATAATACTCTGCTTTTCTGTTTTTCACACCAAAGTGTATAACTTTGCATCTAGCCTTGTTGTACTGCAACTGCATGTGTTTGCCCACTCACTCAACGTGTCTTAGTTACCTTGAAGCCTCCTTCTTTCAAATCACCGACCTGCCCAGTATTGTATCATCAGCAAACTTGAAAACATTGGGTCATGCCCTAAAATCCAAAACCTTGCCCTATGATTTGAAGCTTAAAAATCCATTGGCATTATTGAAAACTCTCCAAGTGTCCAAGCCAAAATTCCTCTCTCAATCAGGAACACTTTAATCACTTCATTTCTGTCTCTGCGATCTTCCTTTAAGTTGTGTGGCATAGCTGTTGTACCTTCTCACCAAAATCTGCTGGCAATTCAAAAGAAAATCATTAATTGTAAAGCATTTTGGCCTGTCCTTCTGAGGATGTGATAAATCCAAGTTATTTATTTTATTCTCCTAAGGAAATGGTAAATTAGTGGCAACAAGTATAGGAAGAGCAGGTATTTGTTGTGTGGTGAGGCGATGGGATTTTCCAAACTGTAGTAAAACTTGAGAAGGCAGTGGTGGTAAACCTTCTCCTTGAACTACACACGGTGGTTAATATTTGTAAGTTACCAGGTAGAGAATTTCAGGGTAGTGACCGAATTATAATAAAAGAACAGTGATGTGGTTCAAATATCAGAATGGTGTATTAGTTGATGAGGAACTTGGGGAGGAGTAATGGTGTTTTAACAACACTGCTGGTCTTGTCTTTCTCAGTGGTAAAGGCCAAAGGGGAAGGAAGGATCAATTCCTTATTTTGATGAGTTGCTGCATTTGGAGGATAATAATACTGTAGTCACATATTATTCTGATCCTTGTAGGGACCCGAAAACTAAAATAACCAAATTTACCAAACTCTAAAATGAAGAAATTAGCAGTCAAGATTCTACTTTTTGTCACTTTTGTTTTAACATGAGCCAGACTAAACATAAATTAAAAAGCAAATCATAAAGTATATTATTATGAACTATAAATTACACAAAGACTAGCAGATAGAACAGAGACTATCTAATAGATGTGATTTATTTTTATTTATTATTGTCACATGTACCTAGGTACAGTGAAACGTTTTGTTTTGCCTGCAGTACAGGCAGATTAAACCATGCAAAGTGCATAGGGTAATAGAACAGAGTGAAGAATGCAATGCTACAGCTGCAGAGAAAGTGCACAGAGAGCAAGATCAATACCAAATTTAAAATTTAAGAGGTCCATTCTGAAGTCTAATAACAACGGGGATAAAGCTGTTCTTGAATCTATTCGTATGTGTATTCAAACTTTTATATATCTTCTGCTTGACCGAAGAGGGTGGAGGAGAGTATAACCAGGTTGGGAGGGGTCTTTGATTATGGTTGTTGCTTTCCCAAGGCAGCGAGAGGTATAGATGGACTCAATGGACGGAAGGCTGGTTTGTGTGAGGACTGGACTGTGTTCACGACTTTGTGGTTTCTTGCAGTCTTGGGAAGAACAGTTGCCGAACCGTGCTGCGATGCATCCAGATAGAATGCTTTCTATGGTACAGCTATAAAACTTGATCAGAGTCCTCGTGGACATGCCGAATTTCCTTAGCCTCCTGAGGAAGTAGCGATGTTGTTGTGCTTTCTTGACCATTGCGTTGATATGAATTAGAATTAGAATGCAGTCCAGCCTGCCTGTATGGTCCCAGTTTCAGTCACATAGTTCTTATAAGTGGAATTCCTTTTCTTCAAGGATTTAACTGATTCCCTTCAAGCATCTGCTTCCTCATAGGCAGGATTCCATAGATGTAACCTTCCCTGTATGGTACACTTCTTTCCAAAACCTTCACAACTCCCTTTTTCATGGTACAGTGGAACTGCCAGCCCTGCCTTTTCTCTCTCTGCCTCTCTGTCTTTCGGCCTCTCTTTATCTTTCCACCCACCTCAAGCTCTCCCATTCTTCTTAGTGTCCTCCTGCCATGCAGCTGCCATTATTGAATTTCCTTCCTGTTTGTACTGTTTTCAGTATTTCTTATAAAATCAAAAAATATAATTGGCCCCTTTACAAAGGACAGAACTTTTAAAAGTGATTATTTTCAAACATTTTTTAAAAAATTACAGATTTTCCTCAATTTCTTCAAACTTTTTAAAGTAATTACACTTTTTTCTTTCTATTACTATGTTTGGGTCAACAGCTGTCTCAAAATGTGCTGGAGGGAGGGACAATTGAGTCCAGTGACATGGGACATCTGGATATCCTGGAACTTATTTGATTCATTTTGGAGTTATTTCCATAGTCCCTTTCCTGCTGTTGCTCTCTTTTGAAATCTTGGTTCTTTTCCTCTAAAGCTACCAGTATTAATCGTGATTTGGAAACTGCTAAACAGTGTTACAACCATCATTTGGACCACGTCAAGGGGAGCCAGTCTCAGCCTTAGAGAACAGTACAGCAATAGGGGAGGCGCCGGCCTAGTGGTATTATCGCTGTACTGTTAATCCAGAGACCCAGATAATGTTCTGGGGACCTGGGTTCAAATTCTACCATGGCAGATGGTGGAATTTGAATTCAATAAATATCTGGAATTAAGAATCTAATGATAACCATGAATCCATTGTCAATTGTTGGAAAAACCCATCTGGTTCACTAATGCCCTTTTGGAAAGGAAACTGCCATCCTTACCTGGTCTGGCCTACATGTGACTCCAGACCCACAGCAATGTGGTTGACTCTGAACTGTCCTCTGGGCAATTAGGGATGGGCAATAAATGCTGCCTGGCCAGCGATGCCCTCATCCCATGAATGAATAAAGGAGTTGAAATTGTCTCCAAACTTTTATGGCCCATTCCCCCACAACCATCTTTAGGTGGCCCTTATTTTCAGGCAGCTTTTACACCTATTTGAGTCAAATAGAAGACTCATTAACTCATACAACTTAGGATCTCATGATCCTTTAGCATTGATATTTCAAACCCCGTGCAGCTGCCCTGTTCCAGGAAATTTGAGCTGTGGTTAGAAGTCTTCTTGGTGCTTTGGAACCCACAAGGAAATCCTGGACATTTACTGTCTAAAGTTTCAGCTTCCCCACCTCTCCCACTCCCCACAATTTATCTGAGCTCCTCAGATACCTGCTTCTTTCTGATTGTTTATAGTGGCTCATGGCTGGTGGAGTGCAAATTGCTATTAGAATTTAAAGTAGCTCCAGCTTCAAATTGATCATATCAGAAAATGGGAGAATTATTGAGAGAGATTGAGGAGGTCATGGACCTTGGAGTGCATGTCCACAGATCCCTGAAGGTGACAGGACTGGTAAAGAAGACATATGGGATGCTTTCCTTCACTAAGTGATGTACTGAATATGAGGCCAAGGATGTATGCTGGAATTATATAAGACACTGGTTAAGCCATAACTAGAGATTTGTGTACATTTCTAGCCATCACATTACAGGAAGGACATAACTAGACTTGAGACAGTACAGAGAAGATTTACAAGAATATAGCTAGGGCTTGGAAATTGCAGGATGAGGATAGATGGAATAGGCTAAGGTCCTTTCCCTTGAAATGAGGATGCTGAGGGGTGATTTAATCAAGGTGTTCAAAATAATGAGGGACTTGGATAGAGTGGACAGGGAAAAGCCATCTTCCCTAGTGAAGACGTCAATTACCAGGTACACAGATTTGTGATTGGAAGAAAGGTTCGAGGTTTTCCTTATATCAAGGGAAACATTTTTCACACAGAGGGTGGTGAGTGTCTAGAATTTGTTTGGTGGTTGTGGTGGAAATCCTCAACTCATTTAAAAGGTACCTGGATTTGCACATGAAATACTGTAACCTGCAATACTACAGATTTTATGCAGGTAAATGGGATGAGAATATGTCGCAAGTTTATTTAGCCAAACAAGACATAATGGGCTGAATGACCTCTTTCTATACTGTAGCCCTTCTATGGTTCTATCATTTTATGGAAACATCCACCCCATTCCTCGATTGAAATGCACTCAAAGTTCAAGTCTCGCTCTCTTTCCCAGTGAGTATAAGTGTGTCTATTGGTTTATTTCCAGTTTTTTGATGGTTCATATGGCAGCATTTTATTTATATGCATATATGCAGCCAATTACAAAACTAAAATAGTCTAAATAAGTACACCCAGAAGTTGACAAAGCAAAACAGAGGTAAATAACATCACAGCTCAATATACATCACTTCAGCAACAAACAGATTCATTGAAACTAAATCTTTTATTGCCCTTTTTAGATTAAGAACAATAGGAAAAGCAGCAAATTAAACATCATTGACGATTCACCCGGATCCAAAGTATCAGAAGAAGATTTAATAACATTGCCAGGTGCAGTGCAACAGTCCTTGCCACCTTTAAGAAAAGCAAATGGGACATTACTACAAAATGGATTTAATGATGGTATGGAGTGACCATATTAGCACAGTAAATCAAAAGTATTGTACATGGAGCACTGCCATCTATTTGTTCATACCCAATTTAAATAGACAGGACATCCAGGTCAGCCTGGCCTTACCGTCAATCACAAATATGCATATGTAACATTTCTTTATTCACTCGTAGAATGTGGACATCATTAGTTGGCCCAGCATTTATTGCCCATCCTTAGTTGCCCTTGAGAAGGTGGTGCCGAGCTTCCTTCTTAAATTGCTGCATGAGTTTCATTGTGGGGTATTTAATTATATTTTTCAATTATATAATGCTTCAAGTATACAAGTATTTCCTAAGTTTCGCTAGTTCCGATATGAGCTTAGTGTACATATCCTCACATAATGTAAGTCATCTGTTCTGAATTCAGCAGCATTGCCTCCATAAATAATTACATACACAGGAGATTTGCTGTTGAACTCCAGTATGGCACTGGGGACAGTGGCCTAAAACCACTGAAAATCTTAATCTCAAAAGAAAACCTTTAACGTAGTAATATTTCCCAAGGTACTTTACAAAAGTATTATCCAACAACAGTTGATACCCACCACATACGGAGATATTAGGGCTGATGATCAGAATCTTAGTCAAAGTAATAGGTGTTTAGGAGTGTCTTAAAGGACGAGAAAGAGGCAAAGGGAGGAGATCACAGAGTTTAGGGTCCAGTCAGGTGACTGACCGGTGGCATAGCTACTAATAGTTGAGCAATGGAAATTGAGGAACACGAAGCCATAATAGGAGATGTATTGTAGGGCTAAACAAGAGCTGCACTCATTTAGAATCCTTAATTATGCTGATGCACTGAAATAACACCTTTTTTTGTGGCCCTGACTATAATGCTGGGCACTTTGCCTAGGATGGTTCCTGTAGTTGGATCAAGAAGGAATCTGAGCAATCAGGAAGATGGATCCATGATTTTCATAGCACAGATGAGTTAGATTGCAAAAGTTAATGCAAGCAAGATACAAAGCAGCAGGGGAAAGTTAGACAAGGATTTAATGAGGACCCTGAAGATAGAATCTTTTTAATAGGAGTTTGAGTTGGTGGCAGGGCCATTGGAGATGTACAACTGAAAAATAAGCACAGCAGAGGGCGGAAGAGAATAATCTTTCATTGGCGAATAAATAGCAGCCAACTTTGTTACTGAGTTGTGCCAATCAAAGGGATGAGCAGAAACGGCACATGACTGCAATTCACATGGAAGTTTTTAGAAAGTGACTTCATTAATTGGAAAGATTGACAATTGGCTATTCAGACTGCTAAAAAGGGACCTTTTTTTGTTGTAGTTATAGATCGATGTGCATCATTTGCACTAGGAGCACAATGTTAGTCATCAAGGCCACTCAGCTCCAGACCTCTTTATAACTTTGATTCAAACATGGACAAAAGAGCTGAATCCCAGAGGTGAGGTGATAGTGATTGCTGTTGATATCAAGGTCATATTTGACCAAGTGTGGCATCAAGGATTCTTAGTGAAACAACAGTCAATGGGAATTAGGGGAAAACTCTTTGCTAGTTAGAGACACAAAGGAGGATAGTTGTAGTTTGGAGGTCAGTCATCTCAAGTGGGAAACTGTCACTGATGACATATTGGTCAGCACCATTTGCGACATCTCAGATACTGAAGCAATCCATATCCATTTGCAACAAGACCTGGACAATATCCAGTTTAGGCTGATAAGTGACAAGTAACACTTGTGCTACACAAGTGCCACGGAATGACTATCTCCATTAGAAGAGAATATAACCATAGCCCCTTGACATTCAATTGCATTGCCATAGATGAATTCCCCACCTTCACATCCTGAAAGTTACCTTTGACCAGAAACTGAGTTGGACTACCCTATAAATATTGTGGCTACAAGAGCAGGTCAGAGGCTAGGAATGCTGCCTTGAATAACTCAACCCCTGACTACACTAAACCTGTCCATCATGTAAAAGGCGCAAATCAGGAGTGTAATGGAATTCTCCATACTCACCTGATGTGTGTAACTGCAGCAGGACTCTAGAGGTTTGATACCACGTAGGACAATGTAGCCTTCTTGATTGGTAGCACATCCAAAAACATTCACACCCAGCACCACCAATGCTCAGTCGCAGCAATGTGTACTAACTACATGACGCACTGCAGAAATTTCTGTAAAGTTCCTTAACGCTTTCCAAAGCCATGGCAACTACCATCTAGAAGGATAAGGACAGCAGATATATGGAAACACCACCACTTTCAAGTTTACCTCCAAGCCAGTCACCACCCTGGCTTGGAAATATATTCCTGATTCTTCAGTGTCATTGGGGAAAAATCCTAAAACTCCCTACCTAATGGTATTGTGGGTCTATCTACACCAAATGGAGTGCAGCAGTTCAAGAAGGCAGCTCACCATCACTTTCTCAAAGGCAACTTGGGATGCACAATAAATTCTTGCCCAGCTAGCGATGCCTACATTCCTTAAATTAACAAAAAAAAAGAATTGTAACAATAATGAATTTTGGATATCTTATGAATCTGTACTGCCCCTCCTCCATGACCCATCCATCCTTCCTGAGGAGTGATGCCTAGGACTGAGACTAATATTTCAAAGAGGATGTTATCAAGTCTCTGTACAATTAAAGCATAACTTTCTTTCCTTTGTAATCTAATCCCCAAGCTAGTATTCATTTACTCATATATTGTTCATTCTTAAACTACAAGATAATTGGTGCTTTTTCTCCGTCTTTGGTTTGACATCTTCCGTTTTCAGCTAAAGCTGCATATTATATTATCATAATGGTATTGCTGAAAAAAAAGTAGCTGTTTGACAAAGATTTTCATGTTATATTCATTGGGATATTCACAAGAAATGCCAATGTAAATGGAAACAGCATTTATATTGTACAGGAAGCGAGTGTTGTTTGTTTGGTAGCTTGAATATTACACAAGTTGTCTTGGATAAAAACAGTTTGACAAATAAGTTGATGTACATTTGTTAAGAGTACATGACAAATCACAGATCATCCACAATGCTAGGGAGCAAGTTGAGAATATACTCCAATGAGTCTTTTGCTGCTACAGCCAATGGAAAGATTATTGCATTGTGAAATTTTTGCTTGGTTTCTTTCAGGACGTTCATGTGAATTATCCTGGCAAGAGATTAATTAAATATGGTGGTGTCTGTGACAGGGCAGATTGTCTTTGGAAGGAACAGATTTGATGGACTGAGTGGCCTTTCCCTGCCCTATGCTTTGTATTTTTATATGTATTCTATTTATTCCATGAGCGATTAATACTTCCAAAAAGATTTGGTTCCCATCAGAGTCGTGAGACTGAAAGAAATGTTGTACCTAATATCTTCATAAATATTTCCATAATGTAGAATAAATAGTCCTGACTACTGCCTCATTCCTGCCAACTACCACTTCCCACTTTAACATCACCCCTTAACCGAGAAAGACAATCCATACTTCACTGTATGCTTGTAACAATTCCAGTAGTCTATAGCATTCATTTTCCTGAATGGATTGCTTAATTAACACCAGATTTTACCCATCTTTGTACTTTGGGCCTGAGCTGGCATTAACCAAGAGCTTTCCCTCTGAGACATTTACAGATGAAGAAAGATAAGTGTTAACTCTTTCAGTCCAGACTGTATTGAATACATGTTCCTGTGCAAAAGATTAATATTTTAGTAAACACTCTCAAATAATCTCAAGTAGATTTCCCTGCCACTTCATTTGCCAAAGAAAAATGATGCCATGATTAAATAGCTAATGATCTGTCCAAGCTAAAAGTGAATATCTGTGACAAACTTATTAAATACAATTGTTGCATTGGAATTGACAAAGCACTCAAAATGCTGCAGTGTCTGATGGTCACAGGCAGCTTTCAATGAACCTATGAACATAACACGCTTTTAATCTACGATAACATTAAATAGCCAGTCGGTCAGAGACCCTCCCTGACAATTTTGCACAACTTGAGTTGTGCCTTTAGTGAATTTAGACACTTGTGGTTCAACATAAGTTCCCATTCCAAAAACATGCTGACATGTTCAAAGAGAAAGTCTGAGGAGTTATTTGGTGTTCTTCAATAAGTTACCCCTAATTGTTCCTAATTCAAGTATTTTGTTTCAACCTACAGATTTAGCACTTACTGCAAGTAGCTTGCTGAAAAAGAATGGACCAATACAAGAAATCAGGGAGAGACCAAGATCTGCTGACATTCTACAAGAACTTTTAGTTCAGGGGATCTTAAACCAGGCCCACAATGAAGAGTGGCAAGAGGTTCACAGTCCTATGGTATGTGTTAACTTCTATCTTCTGACATTAGGATCATAGAACTCATTACTGTTAAAACAATGTTAATTGTGATTTAACACAACATGAGCAACAGAGTGACACCTGGAAATAAGTTATCTTGCACGAGTATAATTATTCAAAACTTGAGATCATAACTTATTCAATTTTGTGACTACAAACCGTAGTCAATGCCCTCAGAAGCACCACCAGCATTATTTCTTTGAAGGAGTGCCAAGTATTCTACGAATTTCTCAGTTATCCCAGTCTTTAGCTTTTATTATTCTCTCATATCTTTAAATTTATCATTTTTATCATTATGTATCCAATTCCTGGTCTTAGTGATTTCTGACTCCTTGTTCACATTAAACTTAATAATTGTGTGGTCACTGATCTTGAGGGATGTTCCAACTTCTTTTCCCTAACATTATCTCTTGTGGCTTCTTTGGCAAACTGCATCAGAAAGCATTCATGTACCAATTCATGTACCACTTGGGTTTTCCCACTTGGGTTAACTCAAAGCTATCAATTAATTTTTTTTGTTCTCACTTAAACTTCTCATCTCTTCATGGAGAAAGCCATCTGTTTTATTTGTACTTGACAAATTGATAGAAGATTTCAAGAGAACAGATTTTGATAATTTATTTCATATGCACATATGAAGAAGAAACCTTAACACTGAAGGCTAAAACTCACAATGGTGGGTTACAGAACACCTTTAAGCTTTATACAGATTACAGTATGCATAAACAATTCCCACACGTCAACATCCTCATGTCCCATATTAACTTTGTTTCCTACAGTCTTTCATAAGCTTTGTCTCTTTCACCCAAAGCCTCTGATAGCATGGCTTCTATGCTATTATCCTTGACAATCTGAATGCTTTGTTTGTGACTTATGTTTCTGCGCACCTGCAGCTCCCACATGCTTTGTTAGCTTTGATTTTTACTACTACATGGCTAAAGTTTAATTCATAACTAACTTGACCTTTTTATTGATTCTATGGCTACAACTTTAATCCTCAAATAACTTAACCCCTTCATTTCCCCTACTTTTGGCCCTCAGCCTGGCCCAAGGTAGCCAACTTGGTGGAAATGGCTAGATATTGACCTTAGGTTTGTAGAGGTACTTGGTTATACCATCTGTATGGTTTGGTCTAGTATTATATACCCCCAATTCATGCTATCTGACCCTGGAATCTCCAATTCCCATACTCATTTCCATTTCTTGTGTGTTCTTCTGGTGCTGTAAACCAAGTAGGTTAGGTATACAACCAGTGCAAGCGGGGTGATAACTGAAACTTGGAAGATGATCCTAATCCATGGGGTGTATCTGCATATTTGATCTCCAATGCCACAGTTCCTGCCACCAAGTGGTGGTATCTATTTGTCTGAAATTATCAGGTAATATCCTTATTTGCTGCTGCAGTTTGTGATAGATTCTATACAGCCACTATGTCTCATCTCAGGTACCTGTAAGGAATTCAGGCAGCAGTGGGACTGTTTAGGGGAACTGGCTCAAATATTAGATAACAAGGTGTAGAGCTGGATGAACACAGCAGGCCAAGCAGCATCATAGGAGCAGGAAGGCTGACGTTTCAGGCCTTTCGCTAATATCCTTCTTCACCTGCACGTTAACTGTTTGTCTTTTGTAGATTTCCACCAGTTTTACCTTTCCCATCCTCGCCAGTACCTGTGGGTATAAAGGCACCACATTATTGCTTATAGAATAAGATCAATTGTTTCCATGTTGCTTTTATGATGTAATGATACAATATCTCCTTGTACCTAGATATGCAACATTGCAACATAAGTTGTTTCCATTGTAGCTCATATAGCTTCCATTGTACTGTCGACCATTGCATTAAAGCTGAACCATGTTTCTTCTGTATCATATTTTGTATGTGGACAAAGTACTGAGGAGGCTTCTACACTATACCTATCAAAACTAGTACTTATTGTATTTCCCCCTATCTCTACTGCATATGGTGGTTTATTATGATGCCTCACATAATAATACACCCATATCACCTCAATGTTCTCTATCCTATATAGTGTCATAAATGATATTTACTCTGGTACAACTAGGATTGCTAGAATTATCAATATATTATCATTTTTAACACATTCTGCATCTGTTTTAAATACACTTCTTAAGCCACTGAGCTGGCAACCGGTCAGGCCATAATCCCCGTGGCATGACAGGTTAACCAGCTGTGCATTAGTTATCCAGAGGGATACCTCACCCTCATGAATTTGTCTCAGGTTTTCACTTGGCTGATCAAGTATCCATGATCCATAGATCCTGCAGATATCATTTCTGACTGCATCTTTTGAAATGTTTTCCTGCATCTTTGTTAATTTATTAACTGACTAAATAGTCAACCTACTAGCACTCCCCAAACTGGGAGTACAGAAAATGGCTGCCCTCCACCATTAACCCAAGCTGCCCATGTTATCATCTGTTTGACCAAAGCTGTATATAGCACTCAAGTGTGACCTGAATACCATGCAGGCAAACCAATATTGCAGATTGTTAGGACAATGGATACCAGCTCATGGTCTACATTATCTTATAAAATGTATCATCTTTTATCAGCAGTAGTCCATTTTTGGACTGGGGCTTAAAGCCAATTTGGAGGGTTGTTTAATCACACCTCCAGTTCGCTACCCCTGCTGTACTGTTGGTATAATGTATTCATAGAACCTCTACAGTGTGGGAGCAGGCCATTCAGCCCATCAAGTCCACACTGACCCTTCAAAGAGCATCCCACGCAGAACCACCCCTTACCCTACAACCCTGTATTTCCCATGGCCAATCCATCTAACCCACACATCTTTGAACTGTGCAAGGAAACCAGATCACCCAGAGGAAACCCATATGGACACGGGGAGAATGTGCAAACTCAACACAGATAGTTGCCTGAGGGTGGAATTGAACCTGGATCTCTGGTGCTATGAGGCAGCAGCGCTAACCACTGAGCCACCTTGCCCCACATTGTTACTGTTGCCACAGTTGTGACGAGTTCATTGTTCTCTGGGCATATCCACCACTTTTCCATTATCGTTCCTGGTGTTGTTGACTTTTGGCATGTAGCCCATCCTTGGTACTGGTGTCAAAATGTTTTCAACACAGTCACATGTCAATGCCATAATTGTCAGTTTTTCTGAGGAGGATCAACAGCTATTGTAGAATGGCTTGTAAATTTTAAACGTAATACAACAACCTTATTGCCCATGCCTTCTCCTTCAACTTGTGCAATATGAAGGAAATCATTCCAAGTCTTGGACAATAAATGATTCATAATCAGATTAAGGTATCCCTGGTTCCAGGCTGTGAGCTGTTCCCTTTTACATTAATCATCTATTTGTTATAAGCTCTTCAGGGTTATGTTTCCTTGGGTAATGCTCTGGCCCTGGTATGTGGATCAGTGTCATATTGACGCTCCCACAGTCTTGCTTTTACTGTGGCCAGACCCCTGTGATTTGTTGACACACAAAGTTTCAGTCCCTATATTGTTCCCACATGTCAGTGTGGTGTAGGTCAAGACAGCTATTTTACTTGCAATCACAGGGGTCTTGTTTCTTTTAAAAGAGCATTATTATTTTACTGTTTGGTGGCCTAAATTAAGTCTCTTAGTTTTTTCAAATGGTCTATTCTGAGAATACTTTCTTTGGTCATTTTATACCTCCACATCAGGATAGAGATCACTAACCCTCCCACTCCTAATGGAATCGTCTCTCAGTGCTTTATTCTGAGAGGTGCTGTCCACCAGCCCCAGACACAGTTATAGTATCAATGTAGTTGGCAAGTGCAGGTGTGCAATTGAGACAGGCCCAGTGTCTATTAACATCCTACACTGCCATCCCTGCACAACAATAAACATATGGAGCTCTCCAGTCGTAAGATGATCCGAGAGCTGGTATTACCTATTCGTTTCCTAATAAGACCCTGATTAGTTGTCGGGCCCCATCCAATGTCAGAGCCTCTGTTCTAGTCACTAATGTGTGCCTGTTTAGATCACTGCTCCTGCTCCTCCTTTCCACCTCTGGTGTTCAACAGTCATCATGTCAGTGACCAAGTTTCCTACAATTCAGACAATGGTTACCAGTCTGTCCTCTCCTCAGGGCCTGACAATCTCACACAAAGTGTCCATGTTTACCGCAACGGTAACATCCTTTCTGGGTACTTACATCGAATTTTACTCCCAGTTTGTTCATCTAAGCCTGTTGACCACTGCATGATATCTCTATAACTTCCGCCTACAGAAAAGCCCATTCTCAAAACCTTCTGATGTCTCGCTCGAGCCCTTGCTTCATCAACTTGAGAAATATATGATCATTTAATGAGGGCGTTCATTTCCTGAGAATTGGACATAGGCTTCCCACTTCCCTTTTGAATTAATCAATTGTTAGTAATCCTTTCTTTTATGACCAGCAGCAGTGCATCCCCAAATAAATTCACCTTTCTCTAGGGCTCACTTTACTGCCTCCCCAGATTCCTCATTAGCATCCCTCAGGTCTGTCCCAGAGGCTGTTGTTTCAGTGACTACACAATGTTCATCCTGATACCATCTAGCCAGGTGCTCCCAAATATCCCCCGGACATTTAACCTTGACCAAAACATGGTAGTCTTTGGGGTACATGGAGTGGAACTTCTTCATCTCCTGCAGTTTAGTCCAAAACTATGGGCTGTCATGTTGGGGTTTCCATCTGAGCAGCTCTTTCAAATGACAACAGCTTTTTGCTGGAGTGAAAGGTACGTAGTTGATTTTCTACATATTAGTTACAGACTCCTCCTGTCCCTCCCCTTCTCTCTTTTGCCTCCACTTGGACTCCTTAGCCTTAATTACCATTGATGTCAATGGGGTTGGTTCACAATTGGCTCTGATAGACAAACCCCTGTGTATGGACGGGGTGTTCCCATACGCTAATTCATTTTCTGATCTAACATTCCCAATTCCGGGATTTGCTCATCATCAGTGTTCCCATGGCATTCTGAAGCCACTGTATCTTGACATTGACCCTTCTAGATAGGTTAAAGTACAGAGATAATTTGATTATCTGACCTTTTACCATTATATCTGTTTTTTGATCATCCCACCATTTTTTTGTTCCACAGGAGTTCCCCTTGGGTTCCACCCATCCTTCTGTATCTTTCAAATCATTTTCCCATCAGAATCTGTTACTTCTGCCTTTTTATTCTCTCTGGTTGCTATGACTGTATATTTTTCTGTTTGCCTCCTTTGTCCACCCTGTGCACACAATTGAGAACTGTGGCTCAATCAATGCTTTATACACTTCCAGTATAACATCTCTGCTCCTAAACTCTATGCCTTGACTGATATACCATGTACCATATGATTTCTTAACTACTTTATCCACCTGTCCTGAGGAACTTTAAGGGTCTAGTGGACATGCAAACCAAGGACCCTCTGATCCTCAGTGTTTCCCAGGGACCTACCATTTATCATGTATTCACTTGCCTTGTTTGTCCTGCCCAAGTGTATCACTTCACATTTAGCTGGATTGAATTCCATAAAATTATTTTAAATTGACCTGTTCAGAGTTGTTGTGACACAACTTCCAGGGTAGGTGGGATTTGAACCTGGATCTTCTGGTCCCACAGGTAGCACCACAAGAGGCCCCACAAGTCCTCAATCAAAACAGAACTGCCAAAGGAAGTATTTCTGTAGGCCAGGATTTTCATGTTGACTTTTTTTTGTGAAAATTCTAGCAAAATACACACAAACTGTTTAAATTAGGTACAGTCCCATGATTTTACTGTTGCAGTTTTGAACTCTTTATCTCGTTAGCAGGTTGATTTCTCTTGAATGCTTTAACAGATCTTTGAAATTTATTTTCAATGTCATTTCCTTTTGTTTACTACCATGCTAGTTTGACGTGAAGTCAACTGAGGGAATTTTAAAGAAACCTCCATCAAGACTTGATAAGCTAAAGAATGAAACAACTGTACAAAAGAGTGTGACAATAGAGGAGATTGAAAATAAAATGATAGCAGCAGAGGAAAGGAGGAAGGTATTGTATAGTACTATTCTATAATAGAATACGAAGCAATTTCACTGTACTCCTATTGCATGGGACCATTCTGCAGATGAATCTAATTAGACTTATGTGCTGGTGTGTATTTAAAATAAAATGATCATTTACAGTGTTCTAAATTTTCACAGATAGGATGCAGGCCATTCTGCTGCTACATCGGTGTGCTTTGTGTCTGTTTTATGCTTGGAAAGTGAACACAACACATGTCTACCCATCAGAACCTTTTCCTGGCAAGTGAAATACTTGTCCAGCTTTCCTGCCTTGTGCCAGCTCTGAAAACGCAGAAATTAGATATGGGACAAATCTATTACTCTTTCTCAGTAACGTGCTTCTATCAACTTTAAACAAACATTGGCCTGGATTTTTCAAGTGCCAGGCATTTGTTTCTGCAGTGTAGGTGGGAGTTACACAGGGGTATGTAGTAGTCATTCAAGTGAATTGCATGTGAAGATAAAGATTCCACTGGGCATTTCTCCTCCACCTGGAACTCTCTGATTCATCCATTTAAATTGAAGAATTTGAAAGGTTTGGCTGCTGTTAAATCAATAGTTGATCATTATTGAAAAAAGCTAACTAACCCCTCAACTTACCACATCATCCCAATTACACCCTCATCAGACCCTTTATGAACCCCAGACCCTGACCCAAAACCCCCAAAGGATCCAAAACACCCTGCGCAGACATGACACCCTGCATTCCCCCAGTGCGGGCTCTATCACGCTGTCCCTTTCCCCAATGGGACCCCACAACCATCCATTCAATCCCTACCCCCATCACCAACCCCATTTCCCATGCTATGCTGCTCTGCCGGACCCAATATCTCCCACCCATCCTGACTTACCACAAACGCTCCATCGCTTACCTGGCTCCCTTGTGACTTTGTATCCTGGCACCATACTTACCTGGAACCCAAAACCTACATACCTGGCAGCCCACTGTCCCAGCACCCTAACATCACACTTACCTAACTCACTTAGCCTTTCCCCGGAGCTGTCAAACTGGCCGGTTGTGATGCTGCACTTTTAAATCACACAGCAACTGGTTGCCATGGTTTGCCTTCCCCTGTCTATCTGGCACATAAGAGACCTGTCAGATTAATAGAATGGCTCAGTATTTCTGTAATGAGCTCTGATTGGAATCCTCTGTCAGAAATGTGAAGCTCTTATTTAACATAAGAAAGAATTAGAATGCAATCTGTGTATGATTGCCACTCCTCAGAAAATCTGGCCAAATATTTTCCACTATACCAGTTTGACACAGCATTTCCCACAATATCGACATCCTTGGGCAACCTGTGTAAAGATGCTAAATTTGTCACAAGGTGTAACTCATTTAATTTTGTGGCCTTATACCACCAGCAACCCAATTCATTGGCAGCTATGCAAATGATTAAAGAAGGAAATGTTTATTTAGAGAGCCAGTTTGGTTTCAAGCCCAGATCCAAGAGGTGAAAAAAACAACATGCAAATCTATCATGTACTCAGACCTCACCAATATCCTTTATCTGACCTGCTTCTTCTTTGACCTGTGGAAACACCAATACATGATTCATAAAATGGGCACAAAAGTCCAAAGGCCACATGGAACAATACTGGGTTTTCCAAATATCCTGCTGTGATTTTATCAGGAGATTGGTGGCATCCTCAGACAAATGCCGTAAAGTCCCCTGCCAGAAAAAGTACTGGCAAGTGAACTAGAGAAGGATGCTATTTGACCCACTAAGCCTTTGCCACCACTGAGGCAGTACCATCCAATTTTGTAAAAATGTAGACATTACAGAGATAATTTTAAAATCTTGCTTCCAGTGGAGAACTTGCCCTGCTTAAGAGAGCATATATATAAGAAATTGGGTGTCCACCTTGAATTATTTTTCAGAAATGTATGAGGAATACACATAAGAACTCATCATAATGGCAGCTCAGTTTGTAAATTTATGCTCTATGTTAATTAGTCATTAAACACATTAATAAGATTTGGCGATACAATAATACCATTGTTCTTACTAGGAAACAGAGAAGAATAATTGAAAATAAGTTAGACAAAGGGCATCTTTTTTCATATTAAATAAACTTACATTCGAACTACCTCAATTGTGCTAAATATGCAGAGGACTTCACAATCGATCAGTTATTTTTAATCTGGTTGAAGTAGGTGAAGTATAGTTGGAAATTACTCGTTAAACATAATAGTAATGTTCTTTCTTAGATGAAAGAAGTCAAGTTAAAGGAAAGACTGAATAAGTTTAATTCTTCACCGGCGATAATACAAGAAGAAACTACTAGGATACCTCCAGAACCTGACCAGGCAAAACTGGAGGAAGTTGTTGAGAAAATAAATACCAAACACAAAGAAAACCAGCAAGAACAACAGGAGATCACAAATGAAAAGGATGAAAACAACGACCTAGTTGACCAGACTGGATTAAACCAACAGGAAAGAAAGATTAATGCAGGGGACTGTTGTGAGGTTGTAGAATTTGATGATGGACATTATTTGACAACAAAAATAGCTGACGAAGTAATTGTGAACAAAATCTGAATCAATACTGCACATGATACATCAATCACCGCCTGTAATGTCTTAGTGAAAATTTTCACCTTTGTTGCATTGTCTTAAACTAAGAATTGCCAAAATGTATGAAACCATTGTGAAGAGAATTATTCTGTGTCAATAAAGGTTGTCCGTATTGATTATGTTTCTTGCAGAAACTTCTGCTTTTTTTAGAAATGTATGTTTTACTTGTAAAAATATAATAAATGTTGGCAAAGGCCCAAAAAAATCAAATGAAAGGTGGAAATGTTCCAACAGATTGCTGCATTGAATGGCTAATGTCAGATTGAAGTCATGATTCGCAACATATTAATTTCAATGATCCCAAAAGTGCCAATGGGAGGATAGATTAATTGATCAGAAGTAAAAAGAGTGGTTGATGAGACTTTGAAGAGACAGTCATGTCTGCATTTATCTCTGAGGTCTAGCATGAGACTAAGGTCTGAGAGTAGATGAATTTCCATTCCTCTGATCCAAGGATGGTGTGGAGCATGGGAGGAACCAAGCAAAATAGAGCATAGAAAAAAAATTACCTTTCAGTTGACTTAACAGAAACACAGAATGAGGATTAAGCCATTAGTTTTAACCCCTTGAGTCCATCCCACATATCATTTAGATACAGATAGCTGATCTGTGCCTCAACTCAATTTATCCAGCCTCAATCCATGTCCTTGGTATCCTTACCTACCAAAAATAACTAAACACCCGCAACGGCCAGGTAACATGGAGCTGAATCAAGGTGGTGGCCTCATCCGGTGGCTAAAGATTCAGGCTGAACTCACCTCTTTACAGGGTCTATTACACAAGTCTAACAATGCCTAAGATAATTGTTTCCATGTTGACCATCTTCTATTAAGAGGAATGGCAACTTTCCAGTTCTGGCTCTGCCACTTCGAATGGTGGAGAGGTGAGACATGCCAGAGCTTAGACCCCAGGCAGCTGAAGATATGGACACAATGTTGCGATTTATCACATATCAACAGGCCTGAATACTCCCTCCCCTTTACACCATCAAGTTTACTTTTAAAAATAGTAATAATTCTAGAATTTTTCTTTGATATTTCCTGTTACCATCATTCTGCTAAGGACTGATCTCCAAGACACCCAAACCCTCCTAGGGCACTAACCAAACTCCTTCCCACCTACCATTGATCAATTGATTGATTTATTGTCATGCGTACCGAAGTACAGTGAAAAGCTTTGTTTACGCGCAGTACAGGCAGATCATAGTAAGCAAGGATGGACAAATCAAAAAGACATAGACAGAGACATACAGGTTACATTGCACAGGGTATGCGCTAGGTGAGATCAACGTTAACAAGATCAGTGTTATTTGAGGCTACAGAGTCCATTCATCAGTCTATCAATGACTGGGAAGAAGCTATTCCTGAACCTGCTCATGTGTGTGTTCAGGTTTCTGTATCTTCTGCCTGATGGAAGAGGTTGTAGGAGGTCATTACTGGGTGGGATGGGTCTTTGACGATGTTGGCAGCCTTTCCAATCAGCAAGCCGTGTAAATAGAGTCCATGGATGGAAGGTTGACTTCTGTGATGGTTTAGGCTATGCACACCACTTTCTGTAGTTTCTTAACAGTCCTCAGCACAGTGGTTGCCATACCAGGCCGTTATGCACCCAGACAGAATGCTTTCAATGGTGCATCTGTCGAAGTTGGTGGGGCACTTTATGGACATGCCAAATTTTCTGAGCCACCTGAGGAAGAAGAAGCATTGTTGTGCCTTCTTGACTGTTGCATCTACGTGGGAAATCCAGGAAGGTTGTCGGTTATTGTTACTCGGAGGAACTTGACGCTCTTCACCCTCTCAACTTCAATTCCATTGATGTAGATGGGGGTTTGTTCTCCTTCTTTCTTTCTGAAGTCAATGATCGTGTCATGGGGTGTCTGCCGTCCTGATTCATCCAGCTGTGTAGCAATGGTCTGGTTGGCTAGGTAGGCACCCCATGACACCAACAGCATCAGCAAGGACAGCATCCTGAAACCGTTGGATCTGTGCCTCACAACCCACTTCACCTTCAATGACCATATATTTAAACAAATCAACGGAACACCAATGGGATCCCCGATATCAGGATTAATAGCAGAAGGGGTAATGCAAAGGTTAGAATGAACAGCACTCCCCACTATTAAACCCAAACTCTGGATCCGCTATGTAGATGACACTTCCATGATTATCAAATGCACAAGACTAGAATAAACCCACCGACACATAAACAACATGCTCACTGGAATAAAATTCACAAAGAAGAAGTGAACAATAACCGACTACCCTTCCAGACGTAATGATAGAACGTAAGAACAATGGGGAACTCCAGACTAGCATATACAGAAAGACCACCCATACGGACCAGATACCTAATTACATCAGCAATCATCCCAACACCCATAAACGAAGCTGCATCAGGACATTATTCAAACGAGCCACACTGCAGCAATCCAGAATTGCACAAAGCAGAACAGGAGCACTTACACAGAGTTTTTAAAAGGAATGGATAGCCAAAAAGCACAAACCACCATTACCTCCATGACAGACCACAACAAGAAGACACAACACGACCAGACACACTAGTCACCCTACCGTACATCAGAGACATATCAGAGATGACCACAAGATTTCTCAGACTCCTAGGTGTCGGGGTAGCCCACAAACCAACAACCACCCTATGACAGCTACTGACGAACATAAAGGATCCCATACCCACAACCAATAAAACCAACGTAATATACAAAATACAAAATACCATGCAAGGACTGTGAGAAACATTACGTAGGTCAAACTGGAAGAAAACTGACAATAAGGACATACGGACTCCAGTTAGCCACCAAGAGGCATGGCCAGTTCCCACTGTCTCAGTACATATGGACAAAGACGGACACGAATTTGACTGGGACAACACATCTATAACAGCACAATCCAAACAGAGACAAGCCAGGGAATTCCTGGAGGCCTGGCATTCCAACCGGAACCCCGTCAACAAACACGTGGAACTGGACCCAATACATAAACCACTGAAAAACAAAACCGGAAGTCCATAGTCCATAGAATCCCTACAGTGTGCAAACAGGCCCTTTGGCCCAACAAGTCCACAGCAACCCTCAGAGCATCCCACCCAGACCCATTCCCCAAACCCACCTAATCTACACATTTCTGAACACTATAGGCAATTTAGCTTGGCCAATCCACCTAGCCTGCACATCTTTGAACTGTGGGAGGAAACTGGAGCACGCAGAGGAAACACACGCAGACACGGGCAGAATGTGCAAACTCCACACAGACAGTTGCCCGAGAGGGAATTGAACCCGGGCCCCTGGCACTGTGAGGCAGCAGTGCTAACCACTGAGGCACCATGCAGCTAAGTGATGCCAACCACCCCAGCAAACCGAGACATATAAATAACAAGCGGGATAGAACACCAACGCTTCACAGGAGTCGCACTGACAATGTTACCTAGCAGGGTGACAGAATGTTTGCAACCAAACCCACCGGCTCGACGAGCATGTCTACAACCTCATCTACAACTTGAGCTACAAATCTTCTCAAAAACATTCAGCACAATGTGGCTAAGCATGAAGTTTTACACTTTGATATGAAAAAGCCAAATATTATTTAAATGGTGATATTCTGGGAAGTGTGAATGTACAAAGAGATCTGGGTGTTCTTGTACGCCAGTTAATGAAAGTAGGCAGGTGGAGCAAGCACTTAGGCAGGCAAATGGTATATTGGCTTCATTATAAGAGGATTTGAGCTCAAAAGATGTCTTACTGCAGTTATACAGGGCCTTGGTAAGATCACACCCGGAGTATTGTATGCAGTTTTGGTCTCACTGCCTAAGAAAGAATACACTTACCATGGAGAGAGTGCAGCTGATGTTCATGACGCTGATACTGGGATGGCAGGACTGTTGTATAAGGAGAGATTTGTTCAACTGGATCCGTATTCATTGCAAGAATGAATGGGGATCTTATTAAAATGTATAGAATTCTAACAGAGCTGTTTAGACTAGACACAGGGAGGATATTTTCTCTGGTTAGGAATCTAGAACCATGGGTTACAGTCTAAGAATACAGGATAAGCCATTTTGCACTCAAATGAGGAAGGTTTCTTCACTCTAATTGTTGTAAACCTGTGGAATTCTCTATAGTTAAGAAAGAGATCAATAAATGTTTAGGTTTTAAGACATTTTAAGATTTCTGTTTCTAAGCAGTATGGAGAGAAAGTGGGAAAATAGTATAGAGATAGAGGATCAGCCATGATCATGTTGAATAGTCGAACAGGCTCGAAAGACGGAAGAGCCTACTCCTAGTCCTAGTTTCTATATTTTGATACTATGTACACTACTCCATATTTGGCCTCACCAGGGACCTCTATAACTGAAGCATAACCTCCCTAGTTTTGTATCCAATTCCTCTGACATCAACAATAACGTTCCCAAATAACTTTCCCAATTACTTGCTGTATCCGAATACTAGGCTTTTGTGATTCATGCACTAGGGCATTCAGATCCCTCTACATATTAGTGCCCGACAGTCTCTCATCATTTATATAATATGCTTTCTTTATCCTCCTTGTCAAAATGGATAACCTCGCATTTTCCCATGGTATGCTCCATTTGTTAGATCTTTGTCCACTCCCTTAATCTAACTATATCCACTTATAGCTATGTCCTCTTCACAACTGACTTTTCCATCCATTACTTGAATTCACCAAATTTTCAGTTGCTTCATCCAAGTCATTTATCTTAATTGTAAAACATTGTGATCCCAGCATTAATCCTTGTGCCACACCACTCTTTACATCCAGTCAATCAGAAAATGACCCATGTATATCTTTATCTCCTGTGTGCTAACTAATCTTCTATTCATGCCAATATGTTACCCTTTACATCATAAGCTATCATTTCCCAAAATAACGTTTAATTTGGTGCCTTATCAAATGCCATCTGGAAATCTAAGTTCAATATATCCGTCGTTCCCCTTTATCTACAGCACATTAATTCTTCCAACAGTTCCAATTGTTTGATTAGACATGATTTCCTTTCACAAAACCATGTTGACTCTGCCTGATTATCTTGAATTTCTCTAAGTACCCTGTTAT